AAAACAAATCTCATTCTAATAATTTGAAGTATTTCAAAAATAGAACACAATAATACCAGACTTTCTTCCTTCACATAAGATAACACATAAAACAAAACACAATAATACCAGACTTTCTTCCTTCACATAAGATAACAACATTCAAAACAAAACACAATAATACCAGACTTTCTTCCTTCACATAAGATAACATTTTAAAACAAAACACAATTAATGTTGTTATCTTATGTGAAGGAAGAAAGTCTGGTATTCAAAACAAAACACAATAATATCAGATTTCACTTATTTATATAAAGTAGAACTAAGGGCTACCATAGACTCTATTAATTCACACTAAGTGAACTAACAGCTACCATAGACTTCACTAATTCACACTAAGTGGAACTAACAGCTACCATAGATTTCACTAATTCACACTAAGTGGAACTAGTAGCTACCATAGATTTCCCTTATTCATGCTAAGTGGAACTAATGGCTACCATAGATTTCACTAATTCACACTAAGTGGAACTAGTGGCTACCATAGATTTCCCTTATTCATGCTAAGTGGAACTAATGGCTACCATAGATTTCCCTAATTCACACTAAGTGGAACTAGTGGCTACCATAGATTTCCCTTATTCATGCTAAGTATAACTAGTGGCTACCATAGATTTCCCTTATTCATGCTAAGTAGAACTAATGGCTACCATAGACTTCACTTATTCATGCTAAGTAGAACTAATGGCTACCATAGACTTCACTTATTCATGCTAAGTAGAACTAATGGCTACCATAGACTTCACTAATTCATGCTAAGTAGAACTAATGGCTACCATAGACTTCACTAATTCACATACAGTGGAACTAACAGCTACCATAGACTTCACTAATTCACATACAGTGGAACTAACAGTTACCATATACTTCACACCAAAGTCATAAGACTGTTTTAATTACGTTTGCACGTCTTTCACCAAATTTCTGTATATAATTCTAGTTCACCTACCATGCCATTCACAAACTCTCTGAATATTATTAAGCTTACCCAGAGTCTGTAAAATCGTTTTAACTGATCTTTTTCTAATCCAGGTGAAACAATATAATTAAATTCAGATAGTGCAAACTGTCTTCTCATCAGCTTGAGAAAATCAGGGACTGGTTTTCCTCCTATAACAAATAAACAAAGATATTCTTTTAAACATGCACTGACAAGTAAAAGAATCAATCTTTTCTTATTGGAAAGAAGCATAATGATGAAAGTTAGGGAATATAGTCTTTCTTCATGGTCACAAGTCACAAATAATTTGACAAAGTATAGTCTTTCTTTCAACAAAACATATTAAGGTTGAACAGTTAAAGGAAACTTCTCTGAAAATCATCACAGCCCCACTCACCTCTTTCTACTCATGACTTACTGTAGAAATAAGTTACAATGTATATGACTGTTGTTTTCCTTATTGAATGAATTTTCCATACAATTAAATCTGTTATAGAAAATAATAATAAAATAAGCAACTGCCTGTGTGTATGGTCAATTCATATTCTTATTTCAATAATTTATTTAGTACATGAAAATATTTAATCTTGGCCAACAATGACAATGCTCAATATGGATTTTTGATATTTCAAACTTATTAAGATATAAAATGTCTACCACAAACTAAATGCTATTATTTACTCCAAATTAAACATTAAATAATTAATAACATCTTATATATTTGAGTACAATTTCTCCATCAACTTAATAAAAAAAAAAGCCACATGAAAACTAATCTAGGTCGAAATGGATTGCTTTATACACGGCTGCTGCAACTTGACAGATACGTGTGTGGCTTACCTTAATATAATACATAGAGATGAGTGTAATGTTGGTCCATAACTAGCCAAATGAAATAAGCCCTAATGATAATGCACAGCAGACAGTACAAGTTAAATATATGAAAAAAAACATACTATTTTTAATTTCCCAACAGACTTGGGAATTTAATTTTGTTTTTATTTCAGAAATAAGATTTGAGACTGTTCCAAGATAACAGATGGGTTTAGCCTTACCAGAATACTTAATTCTCATGACATCAATTCCAACTTTACATGCAGGTTCAGCAGCTAACACACAGTAGGAACCATTGTGAGAGATATTAAAATCAAAGTCTGTTTCCAATACATTCTGAAACGTGGGCTTTCCTTTCTCTGTACGGCTTATAGTTAGCTCTTTATATGGAATAGAAAATGTTTCAGAAAGCACTTTCCTGATCATAAGCCTTCCTACCTGAAGGAAAACACTATGTGTTACTATGCAATGTATTGATGAACAACTGTCATGATTACATGAAATTAAATTGAGGGCTAAAGAAACATATACAAATTATTTGGATATGTATATTATACTAATCACTACAAGTGGCTGTTAACAGCTGACATAAATATTGCTAAGTCAATGTATTTATCAAAAGTTGTATACAAAGAAATGCAAATGTTTTACTTGCATTAAGTGCAAACCTAACTAACAAATAAAAACAGTACATTAATTACTTATAATTTAATAAAAACACAGAAATAATCATGAGATCTTATTTTTTAACACTTGGACAGCTCAGTCTGTAACAAAGCCTACATAATTAACTGTTGGGTAAATCTGCTGACTCTGAACAACTATCAATCCAATGTATGAGGTGGTTTCCTGTTGTTAAAAAATCACATACGTATAAAACAATATTTAATGTATTAATAATGTTTACATAAAATGTTTTAATGGAGGTCTAATAAACTATAGCAGAAATAATAATCTAAACATATCAAGGTATGTGATGGTTATAAGTGTAAGGCTTACATTATGGGAAAGCAAGATGACAGTAGGGGGCCTTTGAGAGATGATAAAAAAGGGCTTGGTTCTAATGATAATGGCATGGCTAGGTTATTAAATTCTACATTTTTCTTCAGTATTTACTAATGAATATTTAAACAATATTCTTCATTCTGAACAATTGCTAGATGGACAAAATCAGAAAAGAATATCACATTAATTCTGAGTTTGTTAAGAAAACATTGTGAAGTTTGAAGAATTATAACCCTCTTGGGGCAAATACTATTTCCCCAAAGTTGTGAAGGAGATGAAGGATAGAACAATAATAACCATTTGCTAATAATTAAAAATTTTTTTTTGAATAATGTAAAGGTGCCCGAGGATTAGAAGTTGACCAATGTTACTTCTCTTTTCAAGGGAATTGATAAAAACTGTCCAGGTAATTATAGGCCCATTAGTCTTACAGAAGCCATAGGAAAATTTTATAAAAGTCTGATAAAAGATGACTTGCAAATTTATTTAACAAAACTTGAAATTTTGTTAGACAGTCAATATGGTTTCATTATGGGAAAATCTTGCCTCACTAATATTTCGACATTCTTTAAAGAAGACAGCCTATGTTGATGAAGATAAGGGTTGGGATTGCGTATCTGGATTTTCAAAAAGCATATGACAAAGTGCCACACAAAAGGCTTGTTAAAAATTATCTCTATAGGTGTGGGGGATAAGTTGGCTGGTTGGACTGAATAATAGCTGGATGGAAGAAAGCAATGGGTTGTTATACATGGCGTTCAGTCAAATTGGATGAACGTTACAAGAGAGATACCTCAGAACTCAGCAATGGGTTGTTATACATGGCGTTCAGTCAAATTGGATGAACGTTACAAGAGAGATACCTCAGAACTCAGCAATGGGTTGTTATACATGGAGTTCAGTCAAACTGGATGAACGTTACAAGAGAGATACCTCAGAACTCAGCAATGGGTTGTTATACATGGAGTTCAGTCAAACTGGATGAACGTTACAAGAGAGATACCTCAGAACGCGATGTTAGAACCTTTGCTCTTTTTGGTTTACATCAATGACACAGACAAAAGAATGGTCAATAAATTATTTAAATTGGTGATGATTTAAGGTCATGGGTCTTGCTGGTTTGCATATAGGTTATGATTTTTTTGATAAATAAATGGAGATGACTTTTAATCATAATAAATGTGAGGTAATACAAGTGGGTTATCATACTCTAAACTGTAATTACAATTTTAATTAGAGTAACCTTAGACTTAACAGTTTGCTGTTGCTAGTGGTGAAGCAAATAGGATTTTAGGATATATTTACAATAATATTTAACATAAATCTACAGAGGTAAAATCTGATTGTAAAGTTCACTGGTTAGATCTTACTTATGTTCAATCTTGAGCTCTATACCTTAAGAAGGATACTGAATTGTTAGAAAGGATTAAAAGGAGGGCAACTAGAATGACTTATACACAAGGCTGTCATATGAGGACAGAGTTTTCTCCTTAAAAAACTTATAGGATATCTAATTGAGATGTTTAAAATGGTTAAGAGAACTGATAGCATCAATTCATCACTTTTATTCATACTTAACAGTGAGAAGAGTAGGGTAAGAAAACAGAAATATAAATTTTGGAAGGGTACAAGTAATCTTTTGCTAAGATAGTTTTATTTACAAACATGATGGTTGATCTTTTGATTAGGTTGCCTTCAGATGTGGTGAAAGCAGTAAATTTAAGGAAATGCTCGATAAATATTCAAATGATAAGGGCTGGCTTTGAGGTTGTTTTTTGTTTTTAATGCTTAATTTAGGAGAATGAGCCAGCTTCAGTGAATTAACAAGCCCCTTGCTATTCTTAAATGTATATTAGTATTATCAGTGTAAAATTCAGACAGAAGCACATTAACTTGAGTAACACTTAACATGCATTTTCTTTTGTCATAACACATAAAAACTTGTAAAGTAATAAGTATGCCGAATTTACTCTGAATAACTTATTACAATTACATAAAGTACTGTCATATCAGTGCTAGTATTTTAACTATTTATTAATGATTACACTCTGCTTAGATCAGTACTAGAGTAGAAATATTGTGTGGAGGTGAATTTCGTTTCTACAACATACTGTGTGTGTGTGTCATCTTCTACTTAGTAGTACTTACACTTACATGAGTATTACATTTACAGGTACTACTACCGTTTTTAAATTTTGCCTAATAATAATTATATATACCTAGAAATGGATCGTGCAAGTGCCTTACTACTAGTATTACAATTTACAGTATTAGTAATACTATGGTTCCACTAATTAATTTGACTAAAAGTAAAACTAGTGTTTTCAATATCATGAGATCCATTTAAACTTACAAGTGAAGCTTTAGCATCCCTTGCAAATACAAATCTATCTATCCGAAGCCTTTCCTCTGGTTGTAGGCAGCTAAAAGCCAAAACCCATTCATCTTGCTTTGGTTTCCAATCATCCAAATTAAAACTCCATCTTAATGAGGGTATAGTTACGAAATTCGTCTCCATAGTTATTAGTATCTGCGTAACTAATTTTACCGAGTATTTCATCACATCTTCGATTAAAAACTTAAATTACAATGCAACTATCTAAAAACAAATTAGAATCTGCGAGCATAATACAATTTACCAAATATTAATACAGTTCCAGAAAAGCTGGTATCTGAATAATCAGAAGCACAGGAACAATTAAAAGGTGACGTTTATTATAGTCAAAAGTAAAGAGATTGACATTATTTCTTTTTGTAAGATCCTATATTAATAATATCAAACTAAAAGTATTTTTCATAGATACATACAATTGGTTATCAAATTATTATTTTATTGTTTTAAGTTATACGAGTTACCTAACAACTCTTCCTTTTTTCTCTGATTTTTGTAGCAAATGACAGTTGTCCAAACTTAACTGAAGCCCAAATACTTAACCACACACACACAAAATCATAAAATAATATAACCCGCAAACATTATCTCACTTTCTTTCGGCAATTATATTCACCAGAAAATTATTGACAGGAGGACAAACCCAAATAAGGTTTTGTTTTGTTTTGAATTTCGCGCAAAGCTACACGAGGGCTATCTGCGCTAGCCATCCCTAATTTAGC